TACAAGTTATCCACCAATGATTTCCTTTCCCAAATGGTTAAGTTGTCATAGATGATGAGATCCACAAAGTTGCCTTCTCGTAGTAGTTAACTTGCAATATATGGTTAAAATTAAAAGGTACATATTATGATAGGAAAGCAGAAAGGTCCATTGCCATATATATATATATGCCAACAAACAACAAGCCATATGGACATTAGAATTTTAGCCACAAATGATGGATGAATAGACCATGGTTATGGATGTGGTATGTGATGCCAGACAAAATACGCTCCCAAATAAGGTACAAAATTGTATGATTTCTTTTGGCACTATATCATGGTTATATTATTGAATATGAACAAGGCAATTTTGGGTTGCCGCCTATATGATAAGATAGAGCACCATGCTTGATTTTGGTGTTTTCTGTTTCCCCTCAACACTAAAATAACGGTAATGTTATTTATATAATTCTTTCAAATTATGCAAGCAGAGGTGTCTTGCAGTCTAGACAGCCAAGAAGCTACCAACGTACGTAGCCTGCTGCAGGATTGTGACATTATGTTATTCTTTTTAAAATAAATTTTGACACTATGGTTAGGTTAAAGAAATCCTAATTTCTTTATTATTACATGATGTGCCGTTTACTCATATTACATTATTATTGCCATTTACTTTTTTTTTTTGGCCAAACTGTCAAATTTTCGTTCAACCAAATATAATATTTACAACTCACTAATTCTTTTGGACTCTTGAACTAGTCTCTCCTAAAGAATAAAATATTTGACAATCACTGACTTCTTACATTTTCTAACTCTTGCTATACATTTTCTACTACTCTAACTAGGATAATTGTTCAATTTGTCCAGCTCCTTTTGCCATTTGATTTCTTTCTGCCCTCATGAAGCTCTAAAATAATAGTCTTCATCCTTTGTTGGCTTAGTTATCTTTTTGTCTTGAAATCTCGTTTGATTCCTCTCTGCCCAAACAAGATATACAACAGTTGCATATAGGAACCTTAACAATTGTGCTTTAACTCTGCTCGAACTTCTCTTTTCTAGCCATTCTGTTTCAGCATTCCAGCTCCCTATGATATGTGTTTCCCCCAGCCATTTTAACAGGGTTGCCCACAGTTGTCTGGAGTAATCACATTCAAAGTATAAGTGCTCCATTGTTTCTTCAATAGATTTTTCACACAACACACAATCGGTAGCTATTGATATGCCCCATTTTCTTAATCTATCAACTGTTGTGAGCTTCTTGTGCATAGCCAATCACAAGATAAATTGATGTCTTGGCAGAACTTTTGAACCAATTGTTATCTTCTTCCAACTACACTTAGGATATTGGGGCATTGTTGCAACATATAATTTCTTTATACTCAACTTCCCTTTGCTACAATACTTGTTCAAGTTAGCTCTTGGATCCCTTTTAGCCAACCATTCTCTCGTATCAAATATTTTTCTAATCAACCAACAGGATTGTTTAGGTGTTTGAATTGACATAATCTCTTTTCTTTTTATATAATAGCTATGTATCCATTGTATTCAGAGATCGTCCTTCTTTTCAGTAATTGCTCAAAGAAGCTTACAAAGAGCAGCTTTATTCCAGTTCACTATGTCAATTATATTCAATCCTCCTGCTGAGTATGACATACAAACTTTATCCCATGCAACCAATGCTTTTCTTGAGGTTTCAGTGTTTCCAGTCCATAGAAATGTTCGACATGCAGTTACTATCAGCTTAGATATCTTCTTTGGAAGTAAGAAAATCTGTGTCCAGTAGGTTTGCATTTCAAAGATCACACTCTTAATCAATTGTACTCGACCACTGTAAGAAAGAAATTTAGTTGACCAGCATTTGAGTCGAGCAGTAATCTTTTCTACTAATGGCATACATTGTTGTATAGATAACTTCTTTGCTGACAATGGGACTCCAAGGTATTTGAATGGCACCTCCCCTGCCGCAAACTCATCTCCGTCATCATCTCTTTCTTAAATTCTTTTGAAACTCCTGCAATATATAAGGCACTTTTCTCCATATTTACCTTCAGTTCTGATACTTCTGAAAAGTGCTGGAATCTGCTCATGAGTAATCTAATTGATATCTTATCTGCTCTACAACACAATATAAGGTCATCTGTAAAACAAATATGAGTTATTTTCTGCTTAGCGCACCTCGGATGGTAATTGAAGTTTGGTATTCCTTCCAATGTCTTCAAGGATCGATTAAAGTACTCCATTACCAAGACAAACAAGTAAGGAGACATTGAGTCTCCTTGTTTAAGCCCTTTTTTTTTGCTTGGAATCTTGTTGTTAATCCTCCATTAAGCAATAGAGAATAACTCACTGTTGTTACACATTCCTTACCAACTGCACAAACTTCATAGGCATACCAAACTCAATCAGAATCATTCTTAAAAATGGCCATTCGACTGAATCATACGCCTTTCATATGTCTACCTTAATTAAACACCTTGGTTATACCCCTTCTTTGTATATCCTTTGAATAACTCATGGGTTATGATCACATTATCCAATATATTTCTCCCCTCTATAAATGCAGATTGGGTTAGCCCAACAATATAATCAACCAATGTCTTCAGCTTTACTGTCAGGATTTTTGCAATTATCTTGTAGACTGTGGAGCAACATGCTATTAGTCTAAAATCCTTTACATATGTAGGGCTATTCACCTTGGGCACTAGAGTTATTGTTGTACAATTTATACTTTTCAACAATTTCCCATTATCAAAGAAATCTTTAATGGCTTGTTTGACTTCACTTCCAATAAGTTTCCAGTATATTTTGAAGAATTCTGCAGGGAAGCCATCTACTCCTGGACCTTTATCATTAGGTAACTCTTTAATTGTCAGCTCTATATCTTGTTCTGTTATTGGTCTGACCAATTCCTACTGTTGTTCATTTGTGAGACAAGGGCCCTTCCTAGTTGTTTCCAGATCTATACATGTTAGTTCTTCAGCACACTCTCCTAGTAAGGGTTGGAAAAAGCTTGTGAATTCTTGTTCTATCATTCTTGGCTATGTAATCCTGGCCCCTTGATCATTGCATATTGAACCAATTCTATTTCTTACTTGTCTTGCCTTCAGCTGTGCATGAAAGAACTTGGTATTTTGATCTCCTTCTTTTATCCAGACTGCTCTGGATCTCCGTCTCAGCACCTTCTCATTCACTTCTTCCCATTTTATTGTCTAGCTTATCAGTTCCCTTTCTTTTGTAATTAACACATCATTGAATGGATCTTTGTCAAGCTTCTCCTGAGTGATCTTCAATTGTTGTCTTAGGCTATCCAGCTTCTTTTCTAATGATGGCATCTCTTTGTTCAGCTTCAACACTCTATCTTTTAATCTCCTCAATTTCATCCATGCAGAATACATTTTGTATCCTTCTATATGTTGTCCCCATACTTCTTTAACAGCTTGTTCAAACTCCTTATTATGCAATAACACATTATATAATCTAAACGATTTAGGCATATAAGACTTGACTACCATTGTGTTAATGACAATAGGAGAATGATCTGACACACCTTGGTTTTCAAATATAGCTTCTACACTACTATACTTTGTCAGCCAAGCAACATTACCAAATGCCCAGTCTATATTACTATAGATTCTATCATTTACATCCCTCTTATTATACCAAGACCATTGCTTCCTTTTCTGTTTAGTTGTTCCACCCCAATATCATCAACACATCTCTGAAAGTCCACCAATTCTGCTTGTTGTACTCGTTGTCCATTAATTCTATCATCAACAAACAACATACTATTCAAATCTCCTATTAGCAGCCATGCCTCTTGAATATTACTCTGAATTTTCCTTAATTGATCCCATAAGTTCCTCTTTTCTGAAAAGTGTTCTTTCCATATACAAAAGTACTCTGTGTACTTTTATCCCTTACTTTGCAATGGACTAATTGATCACTTGCTAAGGTTATATTGACTTGCACCGGTTGTTGTTAATACCTAATTTTTCCTCATATATCTTTAGTACATATATATACTTTCAAAATAGCACAAATGCAGCTATAAGCATGCACAAGCATTTTGTAATTTTTCTATAATTTTTGAAAGCTCCAAATTGATTTATTTCTTCTCTTTTTATTTATAAAATTTTCAATAATTATCTTTCAAATTATTTTCGTGGTGATTTAGTCATCTAAATTCTTTATTTATGCCAAAATTTTATTTAAATATTTTAGTGCATTTTTTATAATTGCATTTACATTTTTAGGCTAAATTGCATATCTTTGCAATAATATCCCTACTAACGCATAATTACGTTATTGATGCATAAAATGATCTCTTATGTTTTTAAAATATTAAACAACTATTTTAAATTATTTTATTACACGAAAATACTTTTTAGAAGTCATTTATTATTTTTTATAAATTATATAGGATTAAAAGTGGCTATTTAAAATCTAGCCTATTTTTATTTCAATTTCAACCTTAATTCTAACCCAATACCCAGCCCAACTTTAAAACCTAAACCTACCCAGGCCCAAATACCCATCTTCCCAACCAAATACCAGGCCAAATCCTGGCCGTTGATCATTTTGATCAACGGTCCAAGTTCCCCCTTTCCATAATTAACCTAACGACCCCCCCTAACCTACACTACTACAAAAAAGACCTTTAGCGGCAATACAAAATGGCTTTAGCGGTAATAACAATAGCCGCTATATCTTTTACCAGCCAATAGTGTTTTGCCGCTGATGCTGGGATCGGCAAAGCCTTAGCGGCTTTTCTCTCAAAAGCTGGTATAAGGTATGTTTTATTGCCGCTAAAACATATTATCTTTAATGGCTATTGTTTGTGGCAATTATAATGGATACTAAATCCAATCCAAAATGGTCAACTATACTTCTTTAGCATCCATTTTTATAGCCGCTAAATTGCCGCTAAAAATCAATATCTTTAAAAGTCACTAGCGATAATAGCAATAATTTGGCGACAATTAATAATAGGTATTACATTTGTATAAAATATGACCCAAATAATAAAATATATTAATATTAATTAAAAAAAAGTAATATATCTCATTAAATCTTAACAAACAAAAGGAAGTATTAATCAAAAATATTAATATCACGGTAACTTAAAACATAAAAATATATTGTTTGGACAAAATAACTAATGTCATCATAGTAATGATCCAGAATGATGGTCTTCAAATGATTTCCACAACTTTTCATCATTTTAAAATCTTCCAACCACTAAATTATCGAACATCAGACTGTATGACCTGAAATTATAAAATAATTGTGTTATAGCATAAATATAATATGAAAAAACATCTTGAAGATTCCATCAATGTTAGATACTTTGTCAGTCAACTCCCTCGCCTAACATCTATAAGCAAAAACAACTACATTCTTTTGATCGTGCATAACGAAGAATCAAAATCTTAACATAACGAAGAACCATGGTCAAGCTTCAGCTATTATTTGAACATCAATGGCTTCATAGATGAATTTATAGTCCTATTCCCTTCATAAACTAGCTCTTCATGAGGATTCTCTAGAGGGACAACTGGATGAAAAAACTCGAATGATGCATATGTGAATTGGGAAAAGGTAAACTGAGTAACTCTAAACTTAGCCATAAACATGAAGTGCTGAAACATGAGACTAGTGTTATAGCTAATAGTGCAGATTTTATAGCTAACAATGCATTTTCTTTTGCAGGAACAACTGAATTTTATTTTTTCTCACAGATTCCTAGTGCTGGAAGGAGGCTACTAAACCTCGACAAGTCACAAACTCCAAATCTAAGGATTAGAATTGCTAACATAAGACCACCAGATTGAGAACTCGGCATGAGGGCATTTACACGACATATGGAACACCACATGAAAGGAAGATCTTAACTGGAAAGCTAAAGGTTCACTGCGCAAGATATTCTATCACTCCAGTGAAGAGTCACACATTGATCTAAAGTAATAGCAAACTGGTGGAGATAATAGGAGCTTTATTACGACAAAACCCATCAGTATTGCTAGCACCGAACAACCAAATGTCAGCCACTACAAACCAGAACGTTTGGATACTCAAAATCAACTAATATCACTGAAGCATCTGAGCAAACATGGTCTGTTGCGATACTTTGTAGAACAACACACATCTTCAAAGACAAGTCAATCAACCTGAGAATAGTGAGCTTTGATTACTTAACTGTTTGGATTGGAAATCTTTGGACGGAGTACTTACTGTATGGTACTGTGCATTTATCCAGTGGTATTAGCATTTTATGATGTTCATTCTGGAATTGCTTAGCTCTATATGGGAAACAAATGCAACTCTTTTTCTGATTTATCTTAAGGAAATATCATAGTACCTTCCAAGTGCTGTCCTCCAAGAGCTAATCCTGTAAGAGCTGTTAAGTTGCATCTCTCTCTCTCTCGGTACAGTTCCAGTGAAGTCATTATTGGATAATAACAAGATTTGAAGCTTTATGCATTTTTTTAGGTTTGGTGGAATAATGCCATCTAGGATATTGTCTGAGAGGTAAAGCCCTTCCAAGTTTGGAAGATGGTCACATATAGTTGTGGGACACTTACCAGTAAGATTGTTTTTGGAAAGAGCAATGACTTGCATCATTGTAATGTTAAATATTGATGGCGGTATAGGGCCTCTAAGCTGGTTATCTTGCATATCTAGGATAGTCATATAATTATCTTATATAATATAAAGACAATACACTAAATTCACAATCTCTTGATAGCCACTTGTTGCTAATATATAATGTTTGACAATATTGTTATCTTTGAGTCTTTATAGCAAGTCCGTCACAATAATAAAATATATTCTCCTCTTCACATAGCCTTGAAAGGGGCTCGACATATAAGTGAGTTCTAGTAGTGCTAGTGTCAATAAGGGCAAAATACTCAATTGTTATTTATTTAATGATCTCACCCAATTCAAAATATTTTGGTATTACATGCCTACGCATTTCAAAATCTGTTGAGAATTCTTTGTAGTCCCTGAATGTCTCCAAATTTAGTTAACTCCAGAACAACAACTATGCTGGAAATGATGCTCAAGTTAACAGCCTTACATAGCTGGAAAACAACAGGAAGTTTCAATCAAAAGGCATCCTAATGAGAAAAGCATCACATTTATTGGAAGCACAAATGTCTCAAAGATTGGTTGCACGCACACACCAATGCACTATTAGACAGTCACAACTATCGAAGGTGTCCATTAAACATTAAAATCTATTTGCTACTTTCTTTAAATCTGTTTGCTACTGTCTTTCCCTGTTTACAAGAAGGAAACTCCTAGGCAGGCTCTAATAGAAACGTTTAATACAATAAAAATGATATCATATATGCATGACAAAAAAAGTTTAAAATATTATAGTTTGTAGTTTTCACAGGTTTACTTGCTCATTCATCAAGGTGGCAATACTTTTTGATCCTCCTGTGTGAGGCATCGTTTGCTTGGCCCTATTGTTTCTATTTGCTTGGGTATGTCTCTGTCATTGAAATATTAAAATGATATCTTATAAACCTTAAACAAAAATTGAGCATACCTAAAATCAAAACGCTATGAAAATGACCAGGTAATAGAATATAATCTTATTACCAAGTTATAACACAATCATCCGTGCAAGTGTCCGAACAGAAAACCTTACACACGCTAGATAACACCCTCTTTGTTAATATGCATCAAGAAGAACAAAATTTTCTCCATCCAATCACCAAAAAAACTATACAACTACATGTACAATTGATATGGCAAATAATAAACAGTGAAAGTAACATGCTAAAAATTTAATGTGTTATTAACTATCATCTTTCTCTGTCAATATTCCAATTTTATCTTTACAGATTTGCCATGATACTTTATTGCAGCTACTATTGGGATATATAGCAACTTATCGTGACCTATGATAAAAGGAGTTGACTGAGAGTCGATCAAAATATTCCAAAGCTAACAGAGGAGCTTTTACTAACCTTGCAAGCTGCCACTACCTTATAGTAATTCAAAGTTTTAACAGATGAATTTCTCCTACTATTCATTATGACTGCATATCAAGTAAAACTCTTTTATTTTAGATAGTCAGAAATTCAAGGAGAAAATATAAAAATTTAAGAGATTTCCTGGAATCAATACTAGTAGCAAAGTTAATCATCCACTAAGCCTACAAAAAACTAGTATATGGCTTTAACTATTTGAGGCAAATGCCTATTGCACTATAAGTTCTTCTACAACACTTACCTCATAGAATTTTTTTTTTATGACAATAAAAAAAAGCATTTTGTGTTTAAAGGAAATTACAGAGCAGATAGAGCATGATTTACAGCAAACTCATCAAGATTTGAATTCTTCTCAGGAGACTCACCACTGTTTGGGAATATTAGTCTAAAAATTATTTGTATCTCCGAACTCCTGAGAAAGTATAACTTCAATAGTGACTTGAATTATAGTTTAGACTTGGTAATCAATTCTCAAACTACGAATTGACACTAACAAGTCTATATTTGCCTAATGTCTAAGTAAACCTCTTAATAGAGTTGGTAGAGGCTCTTGTAAAAGAAGGTTAGTTAATGAGATGTAATGAGCTTTTTGTTAATGAGATGTAATGATGGCTACCTTATCTACTATGATTTTGATACAAGAACATCTAGGTGAACCTTCAGAAATTCTTTCCTATACATTCTCTCTTTCCTCTTGTCTCAATTACTTCATTAAATTCCACTTATAACGCTACAATCTTAAAGTGTACTCCAACCTCCTTTGTTCGTTTTATGTTCAAGTCTGCATTATTCTACCAAAATCTCAACTCTCAAATGTATGGTCATATATAAGCAACTCATGAAGGTGCAAACACTTGAATCTAAAACCTTGACGAACTAAGACTAAGGGAACAAAGCATCTTGAAGTTAAATCCCAGAAGTGCTCAAAATGATATTATACAGTACATTATATTTAATTATAAGAAAGATTGAGGAACAAATCATCTTGAAGTTAATTCCTAGTAGTCCTCTAAAATGTGATTATGTAGTACATTAAATTAAATATAATAGAAACTGTAGATATCAATAATTATGAAATAACATAAAAGAGTAGATGGGATATAAGTACTTTTTGCTAGATTATTCACAATACTGCAAATACAAAATAACAAGCTGGTCACTATAAGACAACAAAAATAAACTTTATTCAGCAAAAAGACACATTTTAGGCCATACCTCCAAATGTTGCACTTGTAGCAAAAAGCATCAAAAGAGGAGGAAGCTGCAGGACAAAATCTCAAAATAAAAAAGAATGAAATATATAAAACGAAACTGAATATTGCCTATCTACTCAAATTTAGAGAGAGCGAGAAGGGACAAATCTAGTATACAATTAAATGGAGGATTGACAAAGAAAAAATGAGAAACAACTGAAAAGGATTAATAGCCCTATCCCAATAAAATAAAAGTCATCTTGGTCCCTTCACACATTGATTAACGAAAGTGATACCTGAAGAGCTTGTACATGAAAAACGTTTATCACAAATTCGTAGGATAAAAGAGAAACAAAATAAAAATTAAAGACAAGAAAGCACAGAATGAATTGACCAATTATTGCGCCTGTATTGAATCCATCAATTGCACAAAGCAATCCATCAATTTCTTAGCCATCCTATTCAATGGCACATCAAAAAAGACATCAGATCAAAGTCAACAAGAGCAGGATGAAAGTCATCATATTTAAGATAAAGTGTAATCCATTTGAAGTGACCTTCAAATAATAAGCACAACTAGTATATACTAGACTAAAAAATGGAATTTCACGATTGTGTTATCAGCTATGCACCTCCTATGTCCTGCAAGCATTGTTTAAGAATAACAAAACAATTCTTATCTACTTAACGTTCAATGTTTCAAAAGGCCGATAGATCAATGCTAGCTGACTTGGTGAAAAAGCATACCCCGTTACACCATCAGCAATACTCTTGGAGGTCATCCTCACCACCATTCTCATGTCTCAAATTCAAAACACATTTAAAGTGTGATGTGGTATCCGATGAAACCTAGAAATTATCATGCTTCACAGCAAAATAACTTTTAAGAAATAAACCACCAAAATTACTGGTAGGAAGTAACTACTCATTTCATGCCAAAAGCAGTAGCAATATGTGCTTCCATAATAATATTCTAACTTATTTTTTTGACAAGTAATCTGGCTAGCATTTTCACAAACATGTTAGCCGCGAAAATGATCGACTAAAATAACATATGAAACTTGACACAGAACACCTTAAAGACTTAGTAGCCTTTGATGCTTTTTGGCTATTAGAGAAATGAAGAGAAGAAAAAGTGTCTGATACGAGATTTATTTTTCTTTCTCTGTTTCTCAAATCAATCAAAAAAATTGTGGACTGTAACAACTTTAAATTTCGATACCCGATTTTGCTTCTCAAATCTTACTAGAGTTTTAAGTTTAAAATATAAAAGTACTACACCAGTTAAGTATTCATAAACATATGAATAACGATAAAACACATACAAAAAAAATTAATATCATGAATCGTAAATAAGCAGATCAAAAACAAAAAATAGACCAAAAAAAGATCAGATATTATAGAAAAGCACCGGCTAACATGATTCTGTTCGAGAATTTGTGTCACATAATAGAAAAGACGAGACTGATTGGGAAGATGCTCTTTTGGACTTTGTGTATTCGTGGTTTACAAAGAGGAAAGGTATGATTAGGGCAATGCGAGCAGATATATTATCCAGGGAAGGAACATTTAGAATGAAAAACTTGGAGGGAAATGAAATATTCTAAAAGGTTTGTTTCAATTATTGACTTTCACTGGCAATTTCTTTCAATTGATAGCAAAAGCATGACTTTTTCTGGCTATAGCTTATCTGCCGGTAATATTTGGGTCTAGAGGAATAAATTAGCAGCAATAATGTTATTGCAGCTCAATAATTGCCGGTAAATGCCATTTTTGTTGTAGTGCTAATTCATTTCCTACGTTATACCGCCGTCATCTAATCCTCTCTGCTCTCAAACTCTCTCAACCTAACCCTAATCCAATCCCATTGACTCTTATCTATGGCTATCTCCTGTGGCTTCTCACTACCTCCCAGGCCTCCAATGGCCTCTCTCACATTACTCTTGCCATCTCCATGGCCCTTAAGGGACCAAGGCTAGTTAGGCTCACATCTATGGTTCTCTCTCGCCTGTTTCAGGCCATTTCAGTGTGATTCCGAGTAAGATCATCCTATATTGACTACGATCTATGGGTTTTTCAGTATGTTTCTTCACTTCTGTGCCGTTCTCTTTGAAAGCCTAAATTTCTTTTTCTGGACCTCTTAGATCTGCACAGATCTGAGACGATCTAGACTTGTTTCATGTGAGTTTTACAATAACCTTAAGTTTCTTTACAAGAATCGTATGATTTTCAAGCGATTTTCATTTTTTCTTAAAACTAGGGTTTCCAGAATTTCTTTTTAAAAATTGTTTGATGATCTTTTGTGTGTTTAATCTTCTGCTTCTCATATATTTTGATTGATTTTATGAGACTACTACAACCTTAACTCGCTTGTACCAAAAGCCCTAAATTTTTGGGGTTCTTCGTTTGGTTTCTGAGTATTAGTACATTTGACTGGTTCTTGCTTTGAGTTCTTGTGATTTCTCATGACTTTCTTGCCCTAATATGCTTCTAATGAATTTCTTAGTTTGACCTTTCACTGATTCTATGTGCTTGTGTTCATCTTGACTATTCATATCAAGACCTGTATCATTCTCCTTGAATCAATGTTGTTCTAACTATTTGTTTTATTAAAGTTATGTGGAATTCTGACTATTCATGTTCTACCTTATTTTATATGTTGCCTCTTTCGTGACTTTCTCTTTGATTATTATGAATCCCTCATTTCTTGGTTTGATTTAAACACTTTCCCTTAAACTTTCGATTATTACTTTTCTACTCGATTCGATTGAATTGCTTGTCTTAATTAATTTTCCCTTGCCTTGTCTGCATTATTGCTTGATTTTTACTGTTATTTCCTTAATTAGAACTCTATGTATCTACCCCTAATTGCTTATTCCAGGTCTTTTGAACTCTTTCCTTATTTGGAACTTGTTCTTTACTGTTTGAAATGACTCTCTTAATTAAGGGAAGACTTGGACTGATTTTACTTTAATTGATTCCGAGATTCTCCAATTACTGAACAATTTAATTCTTACCTTATTTACCTAGCTTTCAAACTACTATATATATATATATGCTTTCTTCTACCCTAATTACACAGAACATTAGTTCACAAAAAAGCACACTTACACTTTGAAGGTTCTCTTTCTCTTCTGCTATTTGTGATACTTGCTAATCTAGCCGGCTGAAAGCCAAGGCTAGATATTGGAACTTCATTTTCTTTATGCACCCTTTTCTTCAACTGGTATGTCTCTAGTTAAGTTTTAGAATCCAAACCTTATATGTTTTCATTCCTGCACTAGTTCATCAGTTATGAGCTCAACTTGTATTCCTGCTTACTTCTTTGCTCAGCATGTCTAAAATCTTCCTGTTCAATGTACTCTTTATATTCTGCACTCCTTCTTGCTTTGCCTAGCATGTCTAAAATTCTGTCTTGTTCAATGTATGCACTCTTTCCTGCTTATTTTTTTGCCTAGCATGACTAGCCTGTCAAAGTCCCTAATATCCTAAGTGTTTATACAGTATGATTGACTATATGTTTTCTCTATACCCTATCCATGCACCCCAAAGTGACTCTTATGTGCCCCAATCCTTTTACCCATATGTAAGATCTGTTTGTTAGGTGTTTTATGAATCTGGATGTTTTTATGACCAATTAATTGTCTGTTGTTATGGTACTCTTATCAAACTATCTTTTACCACAAAACTATTGCATGCTTCTGAAAAATCTCTTTTACTTATGAAGTTCTCTCTATACTATTTTCAAAACCTTTTCAAAATTATGTCAAGCACTCTCACTTCACTCTTAGAATATCCTCTTATGTGTGTACTACCTTGAGATCCTTGAGATCTCTCTAAACTCTGGCATGTCAGATCTGGCCTTTCCACACTGCACCTAAATCAGTTATAGTTTGAGAAAAGGTCTAGGTGTGAGCACTGCCCTGGGATCCTTGAGGTTCTTAGGGAACTCTGACATACCTAGACACGAAATTGTCTGTGGAACTTTGGCATTTGAGGCTATTGGAGGCTTGGGAAGTCATTTGGGCCTGTTTCAGGCTCCCTATAATTAACTTCTTCTTTTTCTTTATTTGTTTATGTAATTTATTCAGCTGGTCTATAATAATTATTTCTAAATAACATTGGGGTGATTAGTGAAAAGGGGTGGGTAGTTATATATGTTGGGTAAATCGGGTAGATACCATGCCTATAGGATCATGTTAACACATTGGCTATGTTTGCTTTAATATTAGAAACCATGCCTATAGGATCTAAATGGCTCTAGTAATAGAAATCATGCTTATAGGGTCAAAATCAGCCTTATAACTAGATACCATGCCTATAGGGATTAAAATCAGCTCTAATAGAAATCATGCCTATAGAACTTAAAATCAGTTTAGTTAAACAAATCAGTTTAATTCATGTTAGTTCATTCTGAATTGGTTTAATTAACTGTCCGCTTCTTTAAACAAGTTTTCAAATGCTGCCTTAAGATAAATACAGTTAGAAAGCATGTCTTTAGGATCTCAAGTTGTCCGTTTTAAAAAACTGTTCACTGTTTTACTTCTTTCTAATCAATATAGATACCATGCTCTTAGGACACCACTGTTATGCGTTTAGGCAAGCCTCTAGGGTGATTCAAATTTTGCAACTATAAAACTGTGCTTTGTTATTTTTAAAAATGTTCAGATTTAACAAGTCTAAATCAGTAGGCAAGCTAAATAGGTTTTTGACACTTTGTCCTAATTCAATACTGTATAATCCCTGCTTACCTAGATATCATGTTCTAGGATTTTCTCTTAAACACCTAACTGTTGTTTGAAGACGTGCATTTATCTGTTATATTTGTGAAGGTGACTGTGAGCCTGTAATTTGTTCTCTTTAAATGCAATCCTAACTGTTCTTGATTGACTACTAGACTTTTATCCTTTAAAACCTTAGGAAAGTCTAGAACTGCCCAAAAACAGAGGTCCTAAAATACCTCCAGGGCCACGAGGAAGGGACGGGTAGTGCACGTATAGGACATATGTCAAGGTTATTAGAACGTTTTAGGCTATGACCAAGGGGAGGGAATTGAGTAGTAAGGATATGATGACTACGCATTAATGTCACGTGTAGCCCCTCGTTGAGGAGTGTTTACCGGGCATTGTGTGGGGTGATCCTGTAGGCTAACCAACTTAGGACCCCCTTTCCAATTCCTGATGTTTAAACTTTACTTTTCTCTATGTATGCAACTCGTTCAAGTCTTTTCCTTTTGTTTCATTACTTGAGTCATGCAAATGTCAAAAACATGCCTTTATTTGCAAGTATGTGTTTAAACTATTTATTTGTTAAAAAGGACTAATTCATAAATATTAAGTTCGGCTGGGACCCACCGTTGTGGACCACGAGGGGTGTCTAACACCTTACCTTCAAGGTTATTTCGAGCCCTTACCCTAAATCTCTGGTAATGCAAATTAGTCTAAAGAGTTAATCACTCTAGGTGCCTTAACGCACCATAATCCGTTAGGTGCCGACTCTTCAAAAACCCAAATTCCCAAAAGTAAGTGANCCCCCCCCCATGAATGTCGAAACCCAGACTTCTCTCTCCCCGCAGAGAGAAAAAAGGGGGCGCGACAACATAGCGAATCTGCTGGCGAAACCTGTAGGCTCTTACCATAACGAACTTATCTTTTGTAAATTAGTCCAAACATGCTCCATCCCACGTACCCTTTCCCTTTATGTGGATTTAACTGTCTACTTTCTTTTAAGCGTTTATGATTATTTTATTCCTGAAATTGACTTGTCTCTTTGTTTTTTTTCCGTAACTGTCTTTCAATTATTTAAAAACTGTACTTATTTTTTCTACGTGCAAATACTTGACTACATGCTATTGATTGCTGCATAAATCATGATCCACATCATATTTCACTCGTGCTATTAAATCCTATAGCAATGCTTGCTGAGTGGTTGCACTCTTCCTATTTATTACCCTTAAATTCGGAAAGGCTTATTTGCGGTAAAACAAGTCGATCAGTGGTGCAGTCGACGGTTCCGTGCCTTTCCCCCTCAAGTTGTCCGCTTGAGGGTACCAGTCTAGACCCCCATAGTAAACTTACTTTGATCGAAATTGTGCATGCATCATGGCCAAACCCAGTCGGATCAATATGTTGTCCACATAATAATCCTTTAAGATGAGCCTTATCCAAAAGTCCACCGGGGTTTCCATAATCCCAATGGACACAACCACGTTCTGTGCATTAATTTGGATAACTAAATCCAATATGCTAATCATGAATGTATAAATAGTCGAGTCTGGTGGGGGAGAAAGGCCCTTTTGTTTTGCAGAAAATGAGGCACGAGGTCCCCAGATTCGGTATGGTTAGCAATATTCCATCATTGCTACTAGATTGGTAGGAGGACCTTTCCTCAAGTGAAAAGAAACATGTAAAAAAGTACCTGGGTAACTTGCCTTCCCTGTTAGACATTGAGCCAAACAATAAGTTGATTGAGGCTGCCACTTTGTTCTAGGACGCTGAAAGGTCTGTGTTCCATTTCGGCGACATAGAAATAACACCACTTTTAGAAGAAATTGGAGGGCTTGCGGGATTGACTTGGGATAGTCCCGGTTTATTGGTGCCGGAGAACCGTACCGGTAAAAGGTTCTTAAAGATGATGGGGTTGAAGAAAAATACTGACCTGGTATGCTTGAAAGAATTTTATATACCCTTCGAATATCTGTATGAGAGGTATGGCTACAGCAAGTCCTACCGTACCTACTATGATGAGCTCTCTCTCTCACTTCTCTAGGCCACATCCACCGCAGAGTGTTCGTGTTCATTGTATGCTTCTTAGGCCTGATAGTATTCCCAATGAAAAGGGAAAGAATCCACACTAGGTTGGCCATGGTCGCCAAGACTTTGATGGAAGGGATCAATGGACAGACATACGCTATAGTCCCCGTGATCATAACCGACATCTACAGGGCTCTAAAGTGCTGTCAAAGAGGGGTTAAGTATTTCGAGGGTTGTAATTTGTTGCTGCAGTTGTTTTTGTTAGAAAATTTTCAAAAGGGTCACTATCGCCAAGAATTTCCGCGA